AAACAGGAAAACATACAGATAGAAGCTCAGCTGCGAGAACCCACTTGCCGTGCGGAAGTCCATTCCCGAGCTTGGGAACTTTTGATCGAAGGAAGCCCCAGACAGTTTCATGTCCCGCAGGGCTTTGGATAGGTTTGCATCACCAGCGAAGAACTCGGCAAAATTCCAAACCTGATCGATTCTCTATTTTCCACAACTCACCAAACTCCAGCCTACCGTTGTACTTTCTGCTTTGACTGTTGCTCATGCACCGACAGTATTTCATGATGCTGGGTTGGTGGGGTGGGACGATCTCAAAACGAGCTTGGGTGGACCGTCTCCACACTACTCTATAGGTTGTCTAGCCACTGACTAGCCAAAGGGCACGTGTCCAGTCCATCTTCTCATTCGACAAAAGTAGAAGTAGGCAAAGCACAACCACCTGCGAGCACAGTGGCTAATATGGGGTCTACTTGGAGGTTCGTGGGTAGTAACAAGTTTGGTTATAAGTAGGGTAACTATCCATATTAGGGGACTTATAACCCTACTTTTAAGTACCCATGAACCTCCAAGTACTAGGTGGGAAAATGAGTATGTGCCCGGGTGTTCTTTAATGCCTTATCATCGGTTCCCTTTGGTAATATAGGGTTGAGCGGGTGCTGCTGACACCCACAGCACTTAAAACCGAAAAGGGTTTCTAAGGGTGTATTTCTATAGGGGCTCTATAATCTACAGGAGAACACGCTTGTACGTGCAGAACAACTGCTAACTATATGTATCTATAGAGATCTAGGATCAAAATCTACACCTACATCTATATCCATCGTACCTATAGCTATACCTCTCTGTCTGTCTATGCCTACATATACATTTGTAACTTTCCTTATAAGTCCACAACAGCATCTACATCTTTATCTACACAGCTATATCTACATAAATACCGCTATAGGTTGTGGGGCCGTACAGGTTAGGGTGGAACCACCTTGGGCACACGTCCAGCATAAAGACATCGAACCAAGGATTTCGGCTCCCAAGCCGGGCTTCTCTGAGCAGGCTCCATGGCAGCTGACAATCGTAAGACTGTCAGCTAGCGCGGTGTATGCTGATATAAGCTCGACTTTTAAGTCACCGTGGCACTGCAGTACATCTTGCACCCGACTACTTGTGCACGGCTGTACCAGTGTTCCTAGGCCTGTATGCATCAATCTGTTACCCCTATACCTCGAAGCCAGCAAAAGCTACAATCGGGTTTTCTATCATGCGGTGTGGCTCCATTCAAAGAACCTGGAAAAGATTCGGGATAGGCTTGGGTGCTTTTTAGCAAGCCTAAGTGGCAGCTATAGAAGTACACGAGCATTTTGGAGATCTAGGTAGCCATACCCAATACGGTTGGGCCGTGTCTGCAACATGGGGGCGGGTGCTTCGGGCAAGGCCACATTACACTAGCATCGGGTCTTGGTGTTGCCATTATCAGAATGGTGTGGCTCCATGTGTGCAACTTTGGGAGGACTCAACAATAAGGATGCACAGACGCTCCAAACTATTTACAACTCCTACAACCCAGGGGACCCTGAAATAACGTGTACATAGGACGAATTCACCAAGAGGCTACACCCCATACAAAGTCCGATCTGTTAAGTTCGACACATCACACCTACTCGATTCCAGAATGCCCGAAGGTACCCAAAGTAACAGTCCTTGGAGCTTGGCATAAGCCTTCCGTAGCCCCTTGGTGCTCAGCGGCATTGTGACCTCAGGTGGACAACGGGAAATCTTCACGGCAGCTTTTCTATGGGAGGCCGATGGAGGGAGTCTTAAGGCTTGCTGGGTGTCCAGGGTTGTCGTGGCACACAGGCTCTGTTGAAGCTCCCGAGAAGCATATATAGCAGAACAGCAGCAGCAGAGGCACGAGCAGCGGCAAGAGCCATCGTCATAAGTGTAGATAGTAGTAGTAGTAGTAGTA